ACCAGATTACCCCACAGGCATCCAAAAACCAGATTTCCCATCCCCTTCAGCCGAGAGACTATGCCTCCCTCTGGTCTACTGATCAACACAAGGGACTGAAGGGAACCCTCCAGCCATGCTGGACTGGACCCCATCTCATGATCCTGTCTATTCCAACAGCAGCCTGAGAGGAACCCTTCCAGACCCAGCCTCATCACCTTACTTCAGACCCGCTTCCCCTTTTTTCATTGACCTTACCCAGCAGGAAGTAGCCAGACAAGAAACACCACCCCAAATCCTATACCATAAAAGGCTGGAATGATAGGGTTCAGGTCCAGGCAACCCTAGATCCAGAAACCATAAGGCCCCTAGAAGAAACTAAGTCAGCCAACTACCAGCCACCTGCAAGCTGACAAAAGCAGCTCCAGGAATTGGTGACCCAATGCATTGTGATCACCAGCACATGCTCCACAGGGTGGCAAACAGGTTTCCCAAGCCCTGTAGCTGCAGTGGGTTCCTAGAACCCTGTAATTGTAGAAATGTTTTACAGTAGATGTTTTCCTCAATAAGTTTCACCAGGTACAGACCCCACGCCCTCCCTGAACAGCCCCAAAACAGCCCCAAACAGCAGAATAATATTCCCTTCCTCCGCATTCTTTTCCCTTTATAAGCTACCCCTCTGAAGCCATTATGTTGCTGGTTTTCACTCACTCCCGGGTTGAGACCCAGCACTGCTAACCCCAAAGTAAACTCTTGCTTTGCGAGAGTCCTCTCTGTTTCTGTTTCACAGTGATCTGGACCCCTCTTTTATCTAACAGAATCTACGCTCAAGAAGCCATTGGAATAGTATAAATATTTACTGCAATATGTAACTTTATTCAAAACTGTAAGGCTCTTTGCACAGGAATTATGATAATGCTATTAATTAAAGCCATTCCTAAATCAAATCCAACATCCCTATTGCTAAGTTAGGCAATACTGTGTCATACTTAGTTCTTCATCAATAATGCTGTGCTAGATAGTTTTAGTGTCAACTTGACAAACCTAGATTGAGGGAGCCTCAACTGGGGAATTTCCTCCATAGGACTGGCCTGTGGCCATGTCTGTGGGGCATCTTCTTGATTGTTGAGTGTTGTGGGAGGGCCCAGCCCACTGGGGGTGGTGCCACCCCTGGGCAGGTGGGCCTGTGTTGCATAAGAAAGCAAGCTGAGCAGGGACCAGGAGAGCAAGCCAGTAAGCAGCGTTCCTCCACGGCCTCTGCTCCAGCTCCAGCCTCCAGGTTCTTGCCCTGAGTTCCTACCTTGGGCTCCCTGATGAACTGTGACCTGGGAGATGTAAGCCAAATAAACCCTTTCCTCCTCAAGTTGGTATTGGTCAGAGAATTTTGTTACAGCAATGGCAAGGCAAGCTAGGACAAATGCTAAGGCTTTATCAGTTTGAATGAGCAGCATGGGTAAGAGAACAACCGTGTCCCCTCTTCAATCAATCCCTAGAAACAGGAGTTTCTAGTTTCCAGTCCTCCAGCATTTGTTCTTTCATTAGTATCTGTGTTCCCATCATGAAAGGAAGGGCAGGAAAAGAGGCATGAGCCTACTGGGCAGAGTAAAGGTGGGGAAACTCAGCAGCTGGGTTCTAATTCTAACAATGCCACTGACCTCCCAGGTTACCTCAGAGAACCTGCAAGGCCCTTGAGGCTCTTCTGCACAACCAGGCAGTAATTCTAACCACCTCCCAGAGCCTCTGGAAGTGGTACTAAATACAAATGATTGTAATAAATAGAAAACCACTTGGAGAATACTGATTAATAGCCACATAAATGCAAAACAACAATTCACCATGCAAAGACATCTTAAACTAAAGCCAAAGAAGGTAATGAAATTTGCTTAAACATGAAATACAAAACAGATGTATTTATACATAATATTCTAGCAATTACTGTGAGGTAGATGCTAGGGCTACCTAATTTTTGTCCTGAAGGAATAAAGAACTAGACCTACCCTTATCCTCCCCCAAAAAGAAGTAAAAACTGCTTTTTGCTTTTGAGACAGACTAAACTTTTTAAAGTAAGACTCACAATTCGGTCAAAACTGTAAAAATGTTTACACAGGAATTTTGATCAGGCTATTAATAAATTCATTCCTACATTGGATCCAGAACCATTGTGTCTTTTCTCAAATTTAAAAAAAAAAAAAAAAAAAAAAAAAAGCATATGGGGGCTAGAGAGATGGCTTGGTGGTTTAAGAGCATTTGCTGCCCTTTCAGATGACTGGAGGGAACTCCAACTCCAGGTTATGCAACACCCTCTTCTGGTCTCTGCACCTACATACACATGCACACACACACAAAAAACTAATTTTTTGAAGTGTTCAGATGAGCTGTGAGATGTTCTGGGCACTTACAGGAGCAAGACAGACAGGGAGGGGCTGCTAAGGAGAGCTCGTGTTCTATATCTCTGTGACCACACAGAAAGTATTATAAAAAGAACATCTGAATTGTAACGATGGTCCAAAGTGGCAATCCTAGGGATGCTGGAGTGTTGAAATTTGAGAACGGAAGAATGCTAATGACTAGAGGTGATGGACCTGAACGTGGAAGATGCACGGCAGACAATGCCCTTCAGTGTACATATTCTTGCCTGATTTCCATTTCTAGATGATTCTGTCCTCACCAATAGGAACAAAAACAATGGATTCCCACCAGTGCTGCCTACACATGCCTCATTAACCAGACCAGGAGAGTCTATCGAAAGTTAGGGGCCATGAGAAAGATTTGTTTCCTTTGTTTCTAGAATAACTTGTAAACCACGAGGAGAATGTAAATAGATGTAGCTCAGGACTATATTGTGTTCTGACATTTTTCAAGGAAATCAAGAAGTAGTCTTAGAAGGCCTGGTCATATAGGTATAGGACATCATGCTATTGCTGTGGACTTTGGCCACAAAGATTGACACCAAATATATTTGTTCTTATTAAGAATTTTTTAAAGGATCAGCAAGATGGCACAACAGGTAAAGGTGCTTGGTATGCATGCCTGGCAATCTGAGTTCAACCTCCAGAACCCACATGATGGAAGAAGAGAACCAACTCTACAAAGCTGCCCTCTGAACACACATGTGCCATGGTATGTGCACACACATACATCATAAACACACACACACAGTAATGATGAGTAAAATTATTAAAATGCTTACCATATTGCATCAGGTTTTTGATATGCTGACCATTATCCTCTATCCTGACCATACCCAGCCTCACGCAGTTCCCCAAGTGGGCAGAGCTTTGACAGTCCAGGTGGTACCCAGGCTATTGGTTCATTGCTGACCTGTGCATTCCATCCTTCCCTAATCCACCCTCCCCTGTCCTCAGGACTCAGTGTAGGCAAGATTCTCCTCAGAAAGCCTGCTCAAGCATGGCTTAGGAGGTACCAGACACATTTGTCACATTTTTTTTCTATTGTCTGTTTGGTTTTTTTTCTCACAGTAGATGTCAAGTGCTGGTAAATAAGAATCCCAGGCAGATGAATCTAGAGCTATAATCCTAGAGTCTATACATTTCTCGGATGTGAAACTAGCTCTATCACTTCAGCTGTGCAATTTAGTCAAGTCCCTTAACGCCTTTATACCTCAGTTTTCTCATCTCTAACAATAATTCCACTGATGACATTGGGTTGTTATGGGGATTAAGTAGGTTAACGTGCACCAAAATTCTAAGGTCTGTTTCAGAGTTTGCTAAAGTTGAGCTGTTTTCTTTGGATCCATATTCATCATCATATGTCTTTTGACTTCCAGTATCTCACACAGTACATGCCACACTGTACACTGTAAGCACTCAATTGAAATTTTTAGGAATAACCAAATTATTTAATTGATGAAATCATAAATTAGCAGACTTGGGGATGGAGAAATGGCTGAGCAGCTAAGGACACTGGCTGCTCTTACAGAGGACAGGTTTGGTTCCCAGCATCCACATGGAGGCTATCAGTCATCCATAACTCGAGTTCCAGGAAATTGAACACCTTCTTCTGGCCTCTGCAGGCATTGTGCACATGGGAGCACTTACATACATGCAGGCAAAGCACTCAAACACATAAAATAAGAACAGATCAAAAAAAATTTAACAAGCAGATTCAATAAAATGACAGTGAAATGCATCTTTTACTAGTAAAAATAATTAACAAGTTCCAATGACAATACATTCCCAATTATATTAAATAACAATAATCAATGCTGAAAATAAAACCCTCAGCTAGTCTATAATCCTGATATTAGTCTGAATAATCAAAGAAAGATTAAGTTATTTTCAGTACAATTTCTAGATTATATATCATATTGCCTTCTAACTGCATCAAAACATGTTATTCCCATGGTATAAAGACAGCCATTCTTAAATTACTAGACTGTTGAAATTATCAAAATGCTCCAGACTCCAAAATTTCTAAGTAAATGATTATTTTACTGTATATTAAGTAAAAATAACATTTTCTAAGCATCCACGAAACACACTGCATGCCTCCATGACCATATGCTTATTCAGCTTTTCTTTTAAATTGTTGGTGCTCACAAATATTTAGTATATATTAATTTTGGAGAAGCTGGAATGATCTCAGATTCCTTTTTGGAGAGGAGGTGCTGGGGAGTCCCTGGGAGCCATGGATGGAATAGACACCAGAGTAGCAAAGCCAGGTTCACATTAGAAGGATGACCGCTAGCTCATTGCCCACATTTCAGCACTAAGTTTAGGCCAGCCATTTGTTACCCAGTATTTGACTGTCCCTTTGTCATTCCTGTTGATTTGTGCACATGACTGCTCATCCATTTGAGTCACACTATAAACCCAGGATGGCTTGACCCATTTTCAGAAGTGCAAAAAGTTAGGTCAGCACCCACATCTGAGGTGCCAGATCCTCTGTATTAAATATTTATGGGTATCTGTGAGTAGAAATGCTCAGACAAACAAATCAATATTTTCTATGACCTTGAGCCAGTTTGCTCAGAGAGGATATTTTCATTCACAGCTTCGTACCTTTAATTCTCCAATGGAGGAAAGCAGACCTGCTCCATATGCCCGCAGTTGACCTTCTTGCTTACAAAGGCCAAACTCGATTGTGAAGAAATAACACTGGAAAAAAATGGACACAAATCCAGTGAAATGGCCAAGTTCCTTCATAGAATAAAATGAGACCCAAAATAAAATATTGCACTATACATAATTTCCTTATCAATTTAAATAAACTTAAATCAGGAATATTTATTGTAATTCTTCCTCTTGCTTAATAATCCTGCCCAAATGGCCAGGCATGGAGGTACACGCCTTTAATCCCAGCACTCGAGAGGCAGAGGCAGGCTGATCTCTGTGAGATGGAGGCCAGCCTAGTCTACATAGTGAGTTCCAGGCCAGCAGTGGCTACAGGAAGACCCTGTCTCAAGAAGACCAAAGAATAAAAAGACATTCAGAAATGAATGAGTATATCTTAGCAATATTGCATGATATATTTACTAAATTGTGTTTCAATGGCAAAAAACAAGTTCAAGCAAATAAGAAAAAAATTAGTTGGAAGCTACTCAACTCAAACTTATTTTTGAGGGCTGGAAAGATGGCTCAGCTGGTTAAAAGCACCGACTGCTCTTGCAGAGGACCCGGGTTTGAATCCCAGCACCCATGTGGCAGCTAACAATCATCTGTAATTCCAATTCCAGGGGAATTCGATGTCACCTTCTGACTCTGTGGGCATTGTATGACACAAGTACGCTTACATACATGCAGGCAATACTCATACACATAAAATAAAAATAATAAAATATTTATTTTGAAAAACTTTATTTTTGAAATCTGTTTCTTCATTCAGAAGACATTAGGCTGAGAAGACCACTTGATGGTAAATGCTTGCTGTGTAAACATGAAGAACTGAGTTTGAATCACTCATATCCATGTAAAAGCTAGGCATGCCAACACATGTCTATAACCCTAGTACTAAGGAAGACAGGCAGATCCCAGGGTCTCACTGACCAGCCAGTCTAGCCAAACTTGTGAGCTCAAGGTTCAGTGAGAGACTCTGCCTCAAAAAATAAGGTAGAGAGAAATAGAAAAAGACACCCAACATTGATTTCTGGCCCCCACACATGAGCAAGTACACACATGCACACATATACATACACCACACAAATAAATTAACATGCATACACACATACAAATAAATAAATAATAAATAAATAAATAATACTTTTTAAAAAGTATTTGTTGAGTACTACTAGGCATCAGTGCTTGGTAAAGAAACAAAAGAAAGACCAAGAAAACAAGTATCCACCTACCAAACTATCAAGCCCACAATTTTAGTATTTTTTAGTAAACTCTTAAATGCATATGTGTATGTACATGTATACTTACATATGTATGTGTATATATAATCACTATTATTATCATTATACATAATCATTAAAATCTTTAATTGTTTCTGCTGGATTTGAGAAATCAACCTAGACAGAGAAATATCTACACAACCAACAAAACTTACAATGCTGTTGAGAGGGGCTAAAATCACACTATATTCATTCTGAGAGAAACGTGAGAAGCTGGCAATGCGTAATAAAAGTTGAATCAGATTAGCACTGTCCTGCATCAGTGAGGCTGGGGCACAGAAGGTGTGAAGGAAGAGGAAACTTTAAACACTCCTGAAAAGGGGCAGAAAATAATTATTATTTATAACCCAGGGCAGTTTGTTCTATTTTTATTCAAAGGTTGAGATGTCCTGTGATTCAGGAGCATTTATTTGCTTTTTAATGTGAGGGTGACTTTTGAGGTTCGATGGTCCCATGCTCTGCAGGACTGAGCAGGATTCAAAGGACTGACTGGTTACTCCTAGGTCACGGAGTGTCACCTTCAGAGACGAAGTCTCCCTTCCTGATTCTCTTGGCTAAGAGGTCAAAATTACAATCTATGCCACCAACATCACAGTCACAATGCTTATCAACATGCCCATCCTTACTCTGTTCCATGCTTTCTTTGTTTCCCAGTATACTGCTATTTTTACATCATCTGTCTCCTCACAGTAGATTATAAACTCCATGCAGCAAGTATAATTTTCCATTCTTTTAAAGCAAGGGAAACTCCAGCACTACTGACACTTTAGACTATACCACTCTTTTGTTTGGGGAAGTTATCCTAAGAATTGTAGGATGTTCATCAGTGTTCTTGGTTGGTACCCACTAGGTAACAATAACATACCCACCTCAGTCTTAACAACCAAAATGTTCACAGAGATACAGTTCTACCCTGGTTGACTTATGATAATACCTGAAACACTAAGAATTTGGTATTTGGTGGATAAATAGTGAATGAATCAATGAAAGAATAGTAAATTAGCCTTATGTGTCTAATATATCCAAAGAAAAGAAATCCATCAAGGAGCCCAAATTTTAGTCTAGACTCTGCTTCTACTTAGCTCTGTAGCTGCATCCTTCTTAGTTGTTACTTCTGCCCATGAATTCATTTACCTATTCTATAAATACTTCTTGTGCAACTGTTTCCATTAGGCTCTGTTCTAAACTCTAAGGATTTGCAGTGAACAAGACAGCAAGTCCCTGATCCCACCAAGGTCCATGATTTGACACAGGACAGCAGTAGTAAGTCAGTGGACAGGATGATGTTAGGAGGAAGATGTTGTTCATGTAATAGGTCAGATATTAAGCAGAAGCACAACTGCTTTAGACTGAGTGGTCATGGAAGTCCTCTATGACTAGAGTGACAGTTAAGCTGCCATCCTCTTACATAACAACTGTTGACTGAGAAATAAAAATGGCAGCTATACAAAGACCTAGGGGGAAGAATGTTCCACCAGAAGTAAGAGCAAGTGCAAAGGCCCTGAAGCCAGAACCAATTTGCATTTCCAGGAGCAGAATGAAGTCAATGGATGATTTTAGGCAGGAAAAGTGATGTTAGGATGTAATATTTAAAGCATCTTGGCTGGACTTTAGCAGACAACCTGAGAAGGCCTGTTCTGACCTCCATGCGTATAGAGGCTGAGATCTCAGCAGACCACCAGAGAGTGCCTGTTCTGGCCTCCCTCTGGCATAGGGGCTGAGAATTCAGGTGACCACCTGAGAGCACCTGAATCCTGCCTCCACGTGTGAAGCCTTTGCAAGGGAACTGACTCTGATTCTAGCTACTCCAACAGCTGTCAAAGTGCCTGAAAACAAATTCTGAGTCCATCACTCTTGAGTCAAGCCTTGGCAGACAAAAGAAAAATGAGGAGGAATCCAATAGAGGGATGCTTTTGGAAGCTCTCATCAAGAAATTCCAATGGACTCTGATATGAACATTTGAAATTTACCGTGCTCTGACCTTTTTCTGGTTCACTGTCTAGAACTTGTAATGCTAACTACTCTTGCCTTTACTTCTCCTTCACATCTCCTAGGCACCAGTCAAGGACTTTCTTTTCTCCCTACAGTTAAGAGTTATGCAATTTGGGAGTCTTTTAGATAGACCCACTGAAGGGGTACTCCAGTTGCCTCACCCTATGTACCTGTTCAATATGGAAGAAACCAGAGTGGTCTGTGTCCCGATTCCCTATCAGCAATTTGGGTAACCTCTTCAGAGGATGGTGTGATAAGAATAGGAGGTAGGAATTGACTAGCCAGTTAGGGTGAAAAGAGCCCCCCCCAAAGTAGCCTGTTTCTTGGCTCAAAGTCAAAATGTCCTTGGGCCTGTTAGCAACGAAAAAAAAGAAAAGAAAAAAGAAAGAGCACACAAAGCTGTCAGGAGAGATATGGGAGGAGTAGGCGGGGAGGGAGTGGGCGTGGATTTGATCAAAACACCTTATATGCATGTATGTAATTCTCAATGAAGATTTTAAAGTTAATTAAAGAAAAGAATCCTGCATACCATACAATTTTACATCATTTCTGTTCCTCATGTTTCACATTAAATCTCTGGACTTGTTTACTCTATATACCTGCTATTCTGTATCTTTTGACCAAGGGAATTAAACTGAAAACTACAAATACTTGTTTCAAAGTCATATCAAATATTCAACCTGCTTTACAATCCTGGAATAAATTATCTTTGACATGGGTCAAAAAAAAAAAATCATGGTGAGCTAGGCATAGGCCAGTAATCCCAGTACTAGAGAGGCTGAGGCAGGAGGACTATGACCTTCACCCCTGCTAAGAGTACGTAGTGAGACTCTGTCTCAAACATAAATAAATAGTTGGGAAAGGTAGGGAGGGAGGTGGGGGTGGGTCTGAAAGAAGATGGGGATGAATGAAACTCAAAGAATTAATAAAAATAATACTTAAAAAGAAATAATCTGTTTCTGTGAAGAATAAACTATAGCAGCAAAACCTAGGAAGATGGTAAAGACAGATAAAGGATCAGAGTGAGTAAACTGGAGTGAGACTTGGGGACTGGGAGATAGCTTAGTGGTATGGCACTTGCCTAACGTGCAGTAGGTCCTGGGTCCCATCTTCAGCAGCACACACAAAAAAAAAAAAAAAAAAAACCAGTTTGGGCCAGGATATCAGAATGTTGGGAGTGGTCAGTCTCACAGAAGCCTCATAAAAAGCCAAAGTAAGAGATGTGAATGAATGCTGAAAAGTGAAAATACAGTGTTCAAGCCTGGGCATAGTGATGAGGACTAACTGTATTATCACAGATCAAGAAGCTTGGAAGACACGTGGCAGCACAGCCCTTCTATTTTACAAACAGGAAAAACTCAAGTTTAGGAAGATGAAGTGATTTATCCAGGACCAGTCTAGTTGGTGACATTTACAAGATCTAGAGCTCAGTATTTTACAGAGCTTGACATCAACATCTGGCACCATTTAAGATTTCTAAATAAAAAATTAGTAGATGCATGATGTTCCTTTACTGCCAAATGATGGGAATAAAAGTCGAAAACAGGAAAATTTGCATCTCATGGTGTCTTCTTGGTGTGCCTTTGGCTTCCCTAATTTATCTCACATTTATAGCTCATGACATCCTTGGAACCTTTATGTTAAATATAGGAAACTTTATGGAAAACATGTTGTCATATTCAAAAGCATCCATAACACACATATGGAGCCAGCTACAGGAGCATTTAGGTCAGCTATTAAGCGCTTTTTAAATTTCCGTAATATTACATC